AGGCAGAAGTTGCAGGGAGCTGAGATCACGCCACTGCACCCCAGCTTGGGCAACAGAATGAGACACTGTTTCAAGAAAAAAAAAAGTGGGAAAATCTTCAACTGTCTTCTGGAGTGTGAATATATGAAAAGACTCAGAGTAGGGTAAAAGTCTATAAATGTAAGAAATTTGGGAAAGCCTTCACACAGCCTTTTGAGCACACATGAGAATGTATACTGGAGAGAAACCCTATATATATTGAGAATGTGGGAAATTCTTCATCCTAGTTCTTTTGTTGTTGTTAACGATACAAAAATATTTTCATTTAATAAAGATTGTCAGGTTATATTTAATGAGAAAGAAAGTATCACGTAAACAGCCCAGTAATAAAATTTTATTCTTATAAATTATTTTATTTTTCTTTAAAATTGGAACATATTCTTATTATGCTTTCCAAAGGACATATTGATTTAGATGTGACTCATTCTTCAGTGGATTCTACAGAAGAAATCATATGAGAGCTGATTTCCAGTTCAGCAACAGCATTTTTTACTTCTGCAGTTATTTTTTTCTATCCAATCTGGCTGAGTCTTGGTTGAGTAGTTCATGCTGCTATTTGAAGTCCCTGGGTGTGAGGTAGGGATCCTTAAGTTTTCTCTCATAATATGTCCTCTGTTGAGACCTACACTGTTAAGATTTTCAACACAAGATAACTCTTGGACTGGCCTTGTAAAAATGGAGAGTAAACATTTGACCCACTTTGTCTGTAGAAGCTTGGTGCAGACTTCTGCTAATATCTCATTTGTTCTGTAGATGGACTTCTAATTTTTGTCTCTCTTATCTTGCTCTTTCTTCAGTCTCCCATTTAAACTTCTCTACATATTCTATATCATGTTCATTTCCATATGACTTTTCAGATTTACTACTTCTGTTACAGTCTTGCCAATGCACCACAGTATAGCAGTTTTTTGTTTTCTGAGGTAGTATGTGGAGTTCTTTGTCTTACTTCCAAGAATATTAAGGAATGCAGACACAAGGGTGAGATTGGAGCAAAAGTTTAATAAGCAAAGAAAGAAAGCTCTCTGCAGCAGAGAGTGGAGCCCAAATGGATTGCCCACTATGAGGCTGGGTCTGGGATTTTTATAGACTGGAAAGGGGAAGAAATGTGCTGACTAGTCTGAAGGCTGTCTTGGCAAAGCATGATTCAGCCTGGCCCAGGACCTTGGCCTGGGATCAATCAGAGGCTGAAGTGATGATTCATAGAGGCTAAAGAATGTCTAAAAAAAGAAAGTGCCCACCAGAACCCACCAGAGCCCACCAGGTATATGCCCATAAAAGGAGTACAGGCTATTTCCTGAAAGCCCACTAGTTATACAAAGGATGAAGGCATTTGTATGTTGGGCCTTGTTCCTTTCTTTAAGTGAGCTAAAGGTTTGTGCAAGTTTCCTCATCTGAGTGGGCTAAAAGTTCTATCTGTGCAGCTGTGGGCATATCTCTAGGCACGACTCCCTGTGCTAATTATTATTATTTTTTAATCCAATCAGAGAACTTGTGATATGTGGGAAGAAGGCACTAACAAGTGGGTCAGGGGCTCTCCAAAATCCCTTCCCTTGCTGTTTACCTAAGGCAAGCTAGCTAACTCCTCTCACTTCTTGTTCTAACACCTTTTTATTCTCAAATTCTTTACATTTCTGATGTATCGTTTTGGTAGATAATAGTTCCTGTTGAAGAACTTGATTGTTTTCAGCCAGATATAGTCATTTTGAAGATGCACCTTCCAGTTCTGCTGTAAGATTATCAATCTTATATCTTTTTAATCTGAATATTCATTTCAAGTTGACTGGTTTTTAAATATCCATGGAAACTAAACTCTTCAGTTTCATATTCATTTAACTTCTTTTCTGTCATTGCTAAGAGTTTTTTATGCATCCTAGTTCATTTTGAGACCATGAAACCATGCACACATTTAAGAGCAGCTTCTTGATTGTAAGCAATATGGAAATGTCTTCAATTACATATGCAACCCTTTCCACCACCTTAGAACAAATTGAAGGACTGAGGAGGGAGGACTTGGGTCCCAACAGGCCTTTCTTGGAACCTAGTCTGAAGTTAAGAAACACTGCCAGCCCTTAGCTCACATATGTGACTGCACAGAATTGAGAGGGCTCCCACAATCTGCCTTTAACCTTTCATCAATGTCCTTGGTTCAGATCTTTGGGGATGCTGTGGTTCTGAAAACAAAGGTGCATCCCACAGTTCTCCAATGGGATCTGCCTGCGGACACCCTAATTCATGGTTGTCAGCATCATGTTATTCCAATGCTGTCAGGAGGTCATGTCCAGCTCCGTTTCCCATCCAAACCCACACTGTAGATTCTTGCTGGTCAATGTGTTTAAAAGTTCACACTAAGGCCGGGCACGGTGGCTCATACCTGTAATCCCAGCACTTTGGGAGGTCAAGGCAGGCAGATCGCGAGGTGAGGAGATTGAGACCATCCTGGCTAATGTGGTGAAACACCGTCTCTACTAAATACAAAAAATTAGCCAGGCGTGATG